GTTCATAATATAGACTCCTGTTAATATGTATATACATACATATCTGTATCTACGTATGTACATGTACACCTACACATACAGAACCTCTAAACATACAAACATGTACAGAGATGCACGCGCACACGTACACCGACGCATCAACAGCAAAACATAGGCGGCACTTCATCGCAAAGCAGCGTTTCTAGAACCTCCCACGGTAACTACGATTGGCCACAGCTGCCTGTCAGTCATGCCGGAGGCGGGAGCGTGAATTCGACCCTACAGCGGCGTCTAATATTATATTATATTATATTATATTATATTATATTATATTATATTATTGTCGTCAATTATGAAAATTTAAAACGAATTCTTTAATTTTCCTTTAAATCCTCGGCTCGTTTTCCAGTAACGCTTCATTTCCGTAATTGCCGGAAATGGCGCATTAAAAATTCCGGAACTTTTCCGGGGCTACCCCGGACAGGGATCAAACTACATGCTCTCTTTCTCTTGGAAAGGACGACAGGCAGATTCCTGACGTTTCCTGGCACACAACTGATGAGAGAGAGGGGAGAGAGAGAGAGCGGGGGAGGGAGAGAGAGAGATAGGGGGAGGGAGAGAAAAAGAAAGAGAAATAGAGAGAGAGAAAGAGAGAGAGAGAAAAAGAGAGAGACAGAGAAAGAAAGAGAAAGCGAAAGAGAGAGAGAGAGAGAGAGAGAAAGAGAGAAAAAGAGAGAGAGAGAAAGAGAGAGAGAGAGAGAGAAAGAATGAGAGAGAGAGAAAGAGAGAGCGAGATAGACATAGACAGACAGAGAGAGAGATAAAGAAAGAGAGTGAGCAAGAGAGACTACATCAGACAATACTTATCCGCTAGCTCTCTCGCCATTTCACTCTCTCGCCCCTCTTCTGCACACACACTCTCTCACACACGCTCACGCACTCTCTCCGCGACTTCTTCTCATCACCACTAGGTGGCGCCGGCGTCCGTCGTCGGCTGGGTCGTCGCCGGGGCAACGGTCGTCGTCGTCGTCGTCGTCGTGGTTGCGGTCGGAGCGCAGTTGACGTACTGGAACGAGGTGCGCGCGATCTGCTCGACGTGGTTCAGATAGGTCGTCTCGATCGTAACGCTGCAAGCAAGCAGAAATGCGCAAACGTTGGCAGGGTATTACTATTAGCCAGGAATGAGTATTGTGGGAGTTGTGCGCGAACGTTGGCGCGGGGAACGTTTGTAAGCGGCTTGTCAGGTTCGGGGGACGTGTGGTGGGGGACCGAGGTTGGGGCAATGCTAACATCCGTGAGAAATGCACGACGTTGGTGCGGGCGGACGTTTGTAAGGGGCTTGCTAGGTGTTTATTGATTGGGGGAGATTAAAAGCATGGGAGGCCAGTGGTTGAGCCTGTGTGACGATGAAAGGCAGTAATTCCGTATATTTGTATAGAGTATCCAGTAGGAAAGCTTTTTAAGTACCTTGAATGGGGTGGCCTCTAGCACAGAACTCACATGATGGTAGCTGAAGCGAATTAAGGGGCCACACCGGTAGAGCTCACAGCTAGGGAGCGTGGCCGCGGCTCGCCCCATCGCCTCGATCATGAACCCTAGTCAATATCATTAGTCGTAGGTTTTGCAATTTCTTGGACAGAACAGCTTTCCTTACCAGGCTGCTCAGGGGCGGCGCCAGAGTATTTTGATAGGGGGGGGGTGACGGTGCGGAAGCGCCGTTCGTCGCGCTTGCTCGACCCAGGGAGGTGTCTGTTGGAATTTTTTTTTAAATGCAGCAGAAATGGTGCGATTTGGTGCATACTTTTAAGCAAATTTCCCGATATAAACTGTTAATGTTCGACTTATATGTTTAACAATCATGAGACAGACAACTGCTGAAAAGGGGGGAAGGGGGGGGACTTCTAGTGGGGTCTGGAAATTTTTTTAAATTATAAGCTCTGAGATGCAATCTAGAGCCATTTCAGGGTACTCCAATCGCTCACAACTAGCAACACTTTTTGGTAGAAAAGGAAAAAATTATGCATATAACATCGTCACTTACTGTCAAATTTGGATGGGCACTGGAGAATTCCGTCTCTGTTGAGTGTGTCCAAAGTAAATGTATTTTGTAGACATACAAGCTCTTACGTAGGGAAGCTTTTATTTAGCTACACCCTGTATAAAGTGTATATAGTTTTTCCAAACGTTAAAAACATATTATGACACGGTTAAACCTGAGTGGTGCGACGAGGCTGTACTGCTGTTGATCAGAGTAGCGTTTACACCCCCATGTCGTGAGTTTGGTTAATGTGGGGGTACAGTCTTAAAAATTTACAGAGGTCTGGGCCCAAGGATAGAGAACATGGGTCCCAATAAAAGACTTTTAAAGACTTGAAATTAAGATAATTAAGATAAGATCTTAAATTTTTCTGCCGATAGATGGCGCCACTATGCGATGTACACTGTGTGCTATGTGCGACTTGGATATATACAGAGTTCTCTATCCTTGAACCGAGGTGGCCTTGAAGGTGTTGTCAACTAATTTCTAGCAAGAAAGGGGTCATTTGTTGTCGCAAAGGCGCGACAATACGTCATTTCACCCAGCAACCTCACCTTGTAATTTGTTTTGACGATTTTTCACGATTTCACGGCTCGCGTATTTCACGCGATTACAGTTACCACACATGTCGCGGCCGTCACATTTCTCCTCGACTTTGCCTGGGCCACTTATGCCACAGGCACTTGGAACGTCTCAATAAAAAAAATTAATGGTAAATAAACACGAAATGTACCAAAGTCTTAATGTTTCTCTAATCTATTTCGCCTATAATCACCTGTAAATGCCAGTCAAATGCTCATCTGCAACACACAAGTACACCGCACGCCCGCCCTGCGTCGCACAAACAACATGAATAAGAGAGTATTATGTATCACTCTCTATTAAGTATCACTCTCTATTAAGTATCACTCTCTTATTCATGTTGTTTGTGCGCCGCAGGGCAGGCGTGCGGTGTACTTGCGTGTTGCAGATGAGCATTTGACCGGCATTTACAGGTGATTATAGGCGAAATAGAGTAGAGAAACATTAAAGCCGCACTATGCGCATCCAAATCTTCAGTACTAGACTAGCAAATACTTCGTGTCATGCATAATCACACTACCTTATGACAAAATAAACTCTAGTTCCTCCCATTTCATTGCGCGTTTGCTTAAAACCCACAAGAGGTGAGAAAACTGGCATTCTGGCGCTAACGCCGACTTGTTTGCCAAACAATTTAGCCGCGAAGCGGTTCGGTGACGTCACATGTTTTTATCTTTGCTGCGCCCGTACCGCTGTACCGCGGCACCGCTGCACGGTTGCTTGGAGATTGGGGAACTGTCAACAACATCGGAAGTATTTTCAAATGCCTTTTATAAGACAACACGCAGTGAAATGGGAGGAACTAGAGTTTATTTTGTCATAAGGTAGTGTGATTATGCATGATAGATGTTGTGATTTGCTAGTCTAGTAGTAGTATAGACCGAATAATTCTGTCCCATATAACCTTTTTTATATTTTGGTGAGGGTTATATTGGGACAGAACGGGGTTCATTGAAATTTCGTGAGATCGCATGCAAAATGCATGCGCTGCATTATATCATTTTACTCATTTGTATTACGGCTTTACAATACTGTTCTGGATCTGACTTACCATTTGCGTTTGGCTATGTGCACTGTTTGTATTTTGTTATTGTGGGCTCTATCCCTAGTGTTATGTACAAAAAATACAATGGGAGTGGTCGGTAAGTGTACCAGTCTACTCTACCTCGTGTTACACTTGGTTACCTGCCCCGTAATAATGCTGTTGGAAATTAATTCACGATTTAATTCACAATGAAGATTTCTTGATGAGCTAGAAAACACTCAGATTTAATGTATGAAAATTAACATTATTTTACCAGCTAGCCTACACCAGTTGGTTGGGATTGATTGTCAGTTCAGATGCAAAATATTGAAAGCAAAAGGTTATACACCGTAGATTAATTATTAACACGCGTATATAAGATAGCCGAGTCGGTTTAGAGTTAGTGGTAGTGTTAGGGTTAAGGTGTTTCTAAAGGTAACAGTTTCTCAGTGTTTCGAATTTTCTGTGATCAAATAGCTGTAGGATCAGCGGGCCTGTTTTATCAAGAAGTTGTAGGCCCGCCATCGAAACTATCGGCGGCGAGCCGACGGGCCGACGTGAATTTCGAACACTGTGCGTACCTACAGCACGCCTTTGAATCCATCATGAGCGGTTTTTCCCAAGCTGGCCATTACCTCTTTTGTCTAATTTTCCGTCAGAAGAAACCCTGTATACGCTGTATATTTCGCGGTGGTTTAGTTTTCACGAATTACAAATAACAACACGCAAATAATTCCTAAAGAAAAATACCGAATATTTCATAATTCACCGACCGCGAAATTAACCGCTCGCGAAATTGTCCGTCGAGTCTGAATTCGCGAAAATATCTGTACGTGAAAAACATGGCGTATACAGTAGCAGGACCGTAGCCTGCCGGGGGGCAAGGGGGCAGCTGCCCCCCCCCCTAGATTTTAAAGCGGAAAAAAAAACAAGTGCCACGGAGCGACAGCGCTCATCTCACGTCTACTGCGGTGACTCTGTGGTGGAGTGGTGGGATTCTAGTAAACCATGTTAGTCCCAAATGTGTTCACATAC